AATAATATAATATATTGTGTTGTTAATATAATTATTATACAAATATAAATTCTTCCTTTCATCCTCATAGCATTTCCCAGACCTCCTGATGTCTGTTTCTCTCTAAAAGGTTCCAGGTCTCAGGTTAAAGCCCACATGCATGTGTACACACACACACACAACCACATTGAATCCAAAAGATTAAAGAATCTTTTTCCCATCAAGTTAGTGACTATATCATTGCAGACAACAGTGACCTATCCAGTTCCTTCCTGCCTACCAGGACAGGGAGTGTAGTTACCAGAAGCCAAATATGCTGCTTACAGATTTCCTGTTTTCAGTCCTACATCCTACTCTTGCCCCTAGAGCTGATAATTAAGAGTTCCAAGCCTCTGAGATCTACCAAAGCAGTTTCCCTCTATACAGCTGAGTGGGATTTTAGTAAGAACAAACCTGAGGGGCTTAGGAGGGGTGGGGTGACGAATCAAAAAGAAGCATGTTCTAGTTCCAGCCCTGCTACTGACTCGAATTTGAGAAGCTCCTGTACCTGCTCTGGGCCTCTTTCTCCTATCTCCCTGCAACAGACTTGCAGAACCACTTTGGCTTGATGGAAGTATCCCATCCTCTCACCTGGGGAAAACAGCTGGGGTCTTTCTATACAGAGATGAGCCACCATGCTCCTTATGGCAGAAAGTCCTTCGGGACCCAGAAGATCATAGAAGGCCCCCAGGTGGGAGCTGTGTTGGCAGTCTGAAGACATAAATAGCCAGACTGTGGCTGTTAGAGGGCCATGAATATGGTGTGCTTTATTGTGATGGATGGTAGGCCTCAGCGCAGAAGAGGTTTAATCCAGATGAGACTTCAGGGAAAACCATCTTAGAGACTGTGCCACCATTCCCCACTTTAAGGAGTGTCCTTGGCCTGATGTGATAATGAACACACTTCTCAGGGGGTCAAGTTTGCTACATGGGCCAAGAATATGCTGGATATGTGTTCCCAGGGTTTTTAGGGTTAGAGAAAACAAAAAGTCAAATCCAGAGGTTAACAGCTTGTACCTAAGCTCAAATGGCAGTTTCTCTTGTAGGTTGGAACTGACTCAGAGATGAAAGGTTATTGATCAGTGTATAGGAAGTTTATTAGCTAGCGGTTTCAGGACCAAATCTGGTGGGAGAAAGGAAGTGTTATTAGACAGAAGTCAACTGGAGGCATAGGAGGCTTTGGCAGACCCAGAGGGACCTTTCAAGCTAGAGTGCTTGTTTTGAGTTGTTCTATTGGGGTGAAGGGACCAAGTCTTTCCATTCCTAGTACTGAGCAGATGTTAGGTACTAGCTTTCCCAGGAATGGGACATGACCTTAGGGAAGGCAGCTCTGCTAAGCCAAGGACAGTTCCCCAAGAAGATTGGCAGGAGGCTGGGGACATGACTCAGTTGTAAAGCACTTACTATGCAAGCATGAGGGCCCAAGTTTGGATCCCCAGAACC